CTGTAGTTCATGAAGTATTAAAAGGACATTTTAAATGTATTTTAAGAAATACACTTAAATTGCACTAAATATACTTAAAGTGGTTCCAATTTAACACAATTTCAATATATTAAATATATTACAAATAGATTAAAATCAAACTTAAGCATATCTTGAAATACACTTAGTATACTTAAAGTTGTTTCAAAATAATACATTTAATATGCACTTAGTATAGTATAATTTAAATATAGTAAGTATGTCTGAAAAAGCACAATTTAAATATATTTATTTTTCACCTGGGACACACACACACACACACACACACACATATATATATATATATATATATAGTATAAATGGTATATTGGTACTTTGGTATTTGGTATTCTGGTGTTTGGTAAATGATATAAAAGTTTTCCAAAGCCACGTGAAAGCAACATACATATAAAGTGTACATTTCTAAGAGCTTAGCACATGTGTTTTAAACTACATTTTTTAAATATTTTTCTTTTTTTTTATCATGTACACACCGACAGTACATGTCAGAGACCCTTGTCATCGCCACAGCGTTTAAGTTGTTCACCACTTATTAGTCTCTATATTTTTATTTATTACATTTTTTAGCTTGTTGCAGCTAAAGTATATCAGGCATCTCACTAGGGGGGCTTCTGTGCCCAGGGCTTTGTTTTTGCTTGAGAAAAGTCCCTACAGGCCAGCAGATATAGAGCAAGAAAAAAAAAACACTCAGCTATCACACCTGAGAGAAAAGAGAGCTTTAGCAAGCCAACAGCAAACAACTCAAATCTCTCTCAGCCAGAGCTGACAACAGCCAGACAGGCTTTCCCCTGGTGACTGTGCCTGCTGATAATTTACTTTTCTGGAGAGGACATGTTTGTCGGGGGAAACAATTGGCAGGTTAAATAATTGATAGGGGACATTTTATTGAGGCGCACCAAGATTTTGCCGCTGACCCTGAGTCAAGGTCACTGTGACTGAAGGTTTCATTTAAAACATCTCTGACATGAATGTTACAATCACTTAGTTTGTAACCTTGTTAAAACCTCAATTTACAAGCTTAATTCAGCTGGGTGATATGAACAGCTGAACAGCAGATATGTCAAGCTCTGACAGGTTTGAGTGTGACTGTATATGTATATGCCCACCTATGTAAATTGGAGCTATGCTTGTCTTTCCATTCCCATACATCTGACAGCTATATGGCCATTCTGTTCAGTAAAACATGAGTATGTGAATCCTAATTTAAAGATGAATCCACTGTGGAGTATTTTGCAATGGCAGATATCCTTTATTAAAAATAGACATAGCTGGCTTGACGAGAGCAAGTCCAGAACATATATGGATGTTTAGTTACACCGCTTCTCGGCTTATTTATGAGGTGATCATTCTTCCACACTCTCGCTAATGCATTTATATTTATTTCATAAATGTCACTGGTCATTGACTTAATCCTAATAGGATTAGGATAATTCTAATAGGCCAAAATAATGTAACTTTTGCACACTTTTAAAATCACCATAATTTATTTAATGTGCTCTCTGATAATGGTGATGATTTATTTGCTTATGTTATGTTTATGGGTTAATGACATGATTTATTTATTTTTTTTTTTTGCATTAAAATACATGCAACATTAAAATAATTAAATTCCTGAATTCCTGAATAGAAAGTTATAATAAATATTTTTTTTAACAAAACTGCTTCATGCTTATTAGTATTTAAAAAAAAAAAAATTACAACATGTCTATTAAAGCAAAGTCATGTGGTGCGAAAAGGAATTATAGACATGAGCCCTGCCTGTCATGACGTCTAGTAATAGTATTGTCTTGAAGTATGCAAGGAAAATGTGCACTTGATGGTTACACTACATGACATTTTTTCATTAAATTAAAACTTTTGTTGAAATGGTATACATTTTTTAAAAACAAACATGAATACAGAAAGTAAATTCGTAAAACTGTTTTAAAATGTATTTTAAAGTAGTTTTTCTTTTCAATATGGACATTCTTGTGTGCAGTTGACCCTTACATATATTAAATATGAATATAAGAATTGATATGAAGTGAGTGCATGTATTTAAGTTGAATATATTGTTTAAATAATTATTAATAAAACTGTGACCTGTATTCATGTAGCACTAGTGTGCCTGTGTGGTGACTACAGGAATGTGTTTGCAACACTGCTAGGGCTTGTTACATCTTTAATTTGGGACCAAAATCCTACTTCCCACCAATACCATGTGAATCTTATTTAACTAAAGCTTTGCTCAGCAATGAGATTCCCTTTAATTCGTGAGACAATAACTGAGCGAGAGGCATGGGTATTATGAGGAAGATTAGCAGTGCAGGTTGGACGGATCCAACAGTTGCCATTCGTTCTGTTTAATTCAGGAGGTTTCCTGTAAGCTGGTGAATCCACTATCACAAGCACCTCTGAGACTCCCTTGCTCCAAGGCCGTGCAAGCCAAATGTTTTTTGAAGTGCAAATGCGATGACGGGAACCGTCTTGATGGCCTTGGCTGTGACACATGCACCCTGGGGCTAGGTCAACAACATCAGGCCTCGCCGTTCTTACACAAGTTCCACGGGGGGGCCTTGGACGCGAGCCGCCTGCCCTTCCAGCGGCGTGACGGTGGACTGCAACACTGGCACAGGAATCACAATATGAGTCACAATGCTTCCACCTTGTCGATATTACCGCCTCCCCCTCCTTTTCTGTCCTTCAGCCTCATGGAGCAGGAAGGTCTGACTCTAGCTGTCAGCTGGGGTGTAGAGGGTTTGACCTGGCCTTTCCTGTGACCAACCTTCTCCTCATTCCAATGCTCGGTCCTCCTCCATTGCGTCGCTACCCCTCCAACATCCCACCGCAGAGCTGGAAGCCTGCCCAGTGCTCCGACATGGTTGCCCCCTTTCTAGAAAAATTAAACTGCTGGAATTGAAGAGAGCAAAGCCAGGAGGTGAGCGCAAGAGAGACCCATGTCTTGCCTGTTACTGTTTAATTAGCCTACTGGGCTTTTGAGGCCTTGAGAAATGGCGGTGTAGATCCGACCTTCTTAATCCCAACCTGCCATAAACAAGTCCCGAGCCCACCGCCCGGTCCACTCTGGCAGGGATGGGAGAGAAAGTCCCCGATGTACCTGTCAAAAGACTTAAATCTCACCTCAATTTTCCCCTGAAGGCTTTGGAGGAACCATTTTTAATCCTGCCCCCCTTATTAGATGCATGATTTTATTGATTCCTTCTCCTCTGCTGCTCTTTATAGTGTAGCTATTATGGTAGAAGAGAATAAAAGAGTAGTGATTTAAAACATCGCAGTGCAGGACTCAATGAAGCCGGGATTACCTAGGACACTTGGCAGCGCAGACGTGTCTTTATCCACGAGCATGCTGACATAAAAATGATCAAAACGTCCCAACTCTCTTTTTGTGATCCTGCTCATCCTCTCCTTAGTTTGTTTATCAACGTCTCTGAGAATTTGGAGAAGGTAAAAAGCATGTCTGTTACTTTTATGAAAAGTGAGAATGGTACCCTGCATCGGTAGTGATTATGACACATAAATCAAAGAGGAATGTTGCTTGAAGTAGACATACTTCTTTTACTAAACTCAGGAGAGGCAGAAGCAACATAAAGACTGAAGGCTGGTCTTGTAGTGCGATGTCATCATTGTTGCTGTGTTCTTTGAAGGCAACTCCCATATTGAGGATCAATCACGTTAAATCAGCCGCTTCAGATTATAGAGGAGGCATGTTCGGTGTCCATTTTCTATGCTCATAAATGAATACAGAACCTAAGCCATGAAGAGACAAAGAAAGGAAAACAATGGACTGAAGAGCTACTTTCACTATTTTCACTAGTTTTAAATCTATACAGTGCATGTAGAGGCAGGTCTAGCTATCATGTCTTGGAATTGTATCTTTGACGTGTCAAAATGGCAGACATTGGTTGAATCCGTGAGTCCTCAACGGGCATAGACATCATCCCCTAGAGAGACGTTTTGAGTTTGGATATGCCTACACAAGATAGGCTGTTTTTTTAGGCCTATTGTTTCTCTTATGGTGTGGTGCATTACCTCTTCACTCAAATCACAGCTGGAAGATGAGCAGGAACATTTTTTCCCAGGTGTCAAATGCCATCGCCTTCATCTGCGTCACTTTGTCCTGCTTGGACACAGCCTGACACAGCCCAGTCCAGCTGAGAGGGTGAAATATATTTGGTCACTGTCCTCTACCTCTCCATACAGGATTAATTAAACATGTGCTTTTCAAGGGTAATTCAGGTTGACAGGGTCTTTACATCATTAAGTGTGAAAAGATGACAAATTGCATTAACTAACGCAGAGCTACAGTCAGCAAGTCATAAATAATTATCTCTTTTCAGACTTGTCATAAGGCTGAATTCTTTTCAGCCAGAAATTTATTTTTAACTTTCAAAGCAGGGATTATGGTAAATTTAAGGGATTTTTGTTTCTTATTCATGAGCATAATTTTAAAATATGCCATGACTTATTGGTGCTCATTTGATCAGGGAACAAGAAAACTCAATGCTGACATCTCCTCCACCCATTTGATGACTTACAAGTTTGTATAAGGGCATAATAGAGCTGGATGGTGCTCATGTGTATGATAATCACACAAAACTTATTTGCTTATAAAGCCAGCTTTGCACATTTCACTTCCTCTGCCATCCATGTGCCTTTGTGACATACAGTGGGTACGGAAAGTATTCAGACCCCCTTAAATTTTTCACTCTTTGTTATATTGCAGCCATTATACCTATCATAGTCTCATGACAACCTTGTAATGATTTGTATGATTTAACATTGTTTAAAAAAAAAAAAATCACAAAATATCGTGGAGTTAGCACATTCAAAAATTAGAATTTTACTCCCACTTGTGAAAAAGAAATACCCTTTAGCATACTTTTAAAAAGAGTACTTATTACAGAAATAATATACTTGTAAAGAATATATGCATTTAATTACATGTTAGTTAAAATTAAATTAAATAAAATAGAACAATTTAATTAAAGGGATAGTTCAGCGAAAAAAATCTATCATCATTTACTCATGTCTCACTCTTAGTACCAGGGTAAGTGGAATGGATTGTAACAGTATAGAAAACATGAACATCAGTTTAAATTATGTACATGCATTTGTTTTGTTAATCAAATTTACACCTACAACCCCTTTGCCTATCTTCACCACATTTTATTTTGGGGTAACACTTTAGTTTAGGGACCATGCATATTATTAGCATACTGGTTGTTTATTAATACTTATAAAGCACATATTAATGCCTCATTCTGCATAACCATATTTTAGATCCCTTAATCCTACCCCACACCTAAACTTAACTACCTTACTAAAAATTAATAAGCAGCAAAATAAGTGAGTTAGTGAGTATTGGTCCTCAAACTAGAGTGTGACATAGTTTTAGATTTTTTAATAAACAAGAGAGAAGAAAGAAACATTATATTCTAAAACAGTAAACAAGTTGTAAAAGTTGAATAAATTAGTTAAAACATGAACTGTGTGTATGTGTGTGTGTGTGTGTGTGTGTACATGTACTTAAGCACACTTTGAGGACAAATTTGTAACCAGAAGTGAGTCAAATCTGACAAAAACTCATTTTGGTGACATCATCATTTGTGAAAATGGTAAAAAAAACCAGTAAATAAAATCTTGGTAGGTCCAATAGATGTATTATTACCAAAGAAGTGTATATATATATATATATATATATATATATATATATATATGTGTGATATGAAGGAGACAGACAGACAGACACAGACAGACAAATAGCATACACTACAGTATAAACAGTGTGTGTGTATGTATGTATGTATGTATGTATAAATAACCAAATTTAACAAGAGGACCCGTTTCAGACGTTACATATTCATTTAACATGCATTAACCTAATCTCAAATCAAATTAGAAATCTTTCATCCTGGAAATATTTGAAACTCCTATCATCACAGGATGATGCTTGTCCGTAGGATTTCATCACTGTACCTAATTTCTAAGTAGTTAAACTGACTGTATTACAAATGTCCCTGGTTTCCACTATTCCACTCTGGCAGAAATAGAGTAATCATACTGTATATGGGCTATAATCTGAAACTGTGGGATGGTGACAGGCGTAATCACAGTCAATAATGTCCCATCTTCTGTCTGGCCTCTTGTCTTGTGATCTCTTGTGATCTTTAGTTTGATTTGATATGGAATAGCATGTCTGCACAGGCACATAAAACAGGCAAGCTGCACTAAAAGAACCTGCTGCCTGCCCTTGTTACCCATTCTCACTCTCTAAAGGCTGAGACATTTCCCTCATACTCTGCTCTGCCATTTTGGTTGGCCACTTAGCATTCTGCTACATTGCTGACAGAACAGACCAGTCACTTTCTCTGATATCTGTTGGCAGCTCTCTCTCTCTCTCTCGTGCCTCACGCCAACTTTCCATCTCCTTTAGTATCTATTAACCGCAGTGAACAAACATCTGACTTTGTTGATTTGTCCGATCATTCTGACTCTAATATAGCTTTGTACTTTTATTGGTTCTCTGTTCTGTAATGAAGACTTACAAAAGAAGGGAGAATCTCAGTTGCATGCAGAAATCCGATCTGTTGATTAATGCTCCAGCTTTACAGCCTTATGCCTCAGTGCACCGTCAGTGGGAAAGCTTTTTTCGTGGTTTATTTATCAGAGAGTCATTCTGATTACCGGGGAGGAAAGATACTTTAAGAGGCACAATGACTAGATGGGACTTGTCAGCAGGTGTGCCTTCTTTCTGTTTCAAGACACAGGGAGGGAAAGAAAGTGGAGAATTGTGGCTAAATGAAGGTTGCTGCTTCTAGAAGACTCCCTGGCACATTAACACTTCCCTTTCAAAGAGATTATGCACTTTCTTTTAACCACATTTTACACCGCATGTTTCTCTTGCACTTTAACAGCAGCCTGAATCTTTATTTGACATAATTTCTCACCGATTCTTGTGTTTTGGGTCAAAACAAGTTACAGAATTTAAAAAAAGAAAATGTATGTATTAAGGAATTATTTTTATTTTTCTGTCCAACATTTTTAAGGGCTTTTCTTTATTTGAAGTCTCCTGCTTTTTTTTTTTTTTTTCCTTATAAAATGTGTATTTCTCTTTGATTACATATGGCAACACCATTAGATACAAAAATAATCAAATATTTATTATACACATTGAGAAATCTGTTATTCACTTGAATGAATAAATGAATTGAGATTTTGAATAGATTTATTAAATGCAGCAGACATTTAGTTTTTTCCTGGTGTTGCAAACTAGCAAAAGGACCTACTTAAAATTATTTAAAAGAAATGTAATAGAAATAGAAATTCCATTGGAATTGAATAGAAAATCGATTTTTGGGTAAAAATGTACATATTAAAATAAAATAAAAAAACACTAGAAATACTGTTTCTTGTACAAGCAATTTTAAACCACAAGAAGAAGAAATGAAAGAGCTCAAATCGTTACTCATGCGCTGTTCTCGCACACAATCAAAGCGCGCACAAGCATAGAGACATGTTTCAGACAGCGTGGAAATATAGAGTTGCGTATACATACACATAAAATTAGCCTATGTTAAAAATCCCTCACGGCATTGTCATTCTCTGTGCTTTAAATATTTTTTTTTCTTGCTTATCCAAAAAAAATAGTCTGATATGTGACTCAAAAAAAACACAATATAATGCATTGAACCACTATATAATGCTATTATAATACTATATAATAGCCTAATATATATATATATATATATATATTAGGCTATTATATACCACTACAAAGACACTGTCAGCTTTATGCTGATCAATTCATACCCTCTCCTTCACAGGTTTTAAGAAGAGATAGCAGGTTTTGAAACACACATTCTGAAGAGGACTGCCCCTGTTCTCATCACCTGGTCAATTGGTCCTGGTCCCCTTAACAGAGGGTTTAGCGACATTGGCCTTGTTGGTTGGTGATAGACACCTGTGTGATGGTGGAGAGGGGTGGGTCGCCCTGTAGAGTGTCAGGAGGGTCAGCAAGTCGAACTAATGTGATTCTTTGAGAATAACTCATGTACCCAGACTTCCATGGGTTTTAAAGGGTTGTATTCCTGAATTTCAATTAAGGTAGAGAAGAGAATGCAGAATTACAATTGAAATTGAAATTAAGGAATTGCAATTAAAATTAAGTGAAATTCAGAGAAATAACTGTTTTTTTTACTGTAATTTTGAATGGGTAGACAGATTTGTTTTGAAAATTTGGGGGAAATTCTTTAAGTTTGAAGGTTGTCTTGAAGGACAGAATAGCGATATTTAGACAGGACTATTTTCCCTGGAGCATGTACTTTGCATTTTTAATCTTATTTGAATCAGTCAAGTCTGTGTTTTTCCTCACACAAACTGTAAAAATTCCAGAGCAAATTACCTACTGTTTTTCGGCTAACTTTGTGGTGGAGAAATTGAATCCCGTCAGAATGTCTGTGATTTTTGATATTATCACAATGCTTCTCCTTATGTGTTTTTTTTGACTAAGCTGAGCTACCGTTTGTGCACTAATCTTCCGCATGATGCATCTTTCAGTATGAACAGCATCCAACGAAAAAGGACTACAATAGGACTACAATTAAATTGATTAAGGCGAACCAAATTGCAGGAAACTTGTATGGCTATTTTAATACTAAAGTCAGATAAGTCTAAATTTCTCTGCTCAGTTATGGGTTTATTCTAAGCAGCCACTTCAATAAACTTTATTTTTGTAAAGTTTATTTAAATAAGGTTTTTATTATAAATGAGGATTATATTAAAACATTAATTCATTAAAAGACACGTCATAAATAATGCACTCAGCCACAGCAAAGGATCTTATATGATACCCACATCTAACTGTCCCACATCTTTACTGTCAATTTTGATCAATTTAATGCATCCTCGCTGAAAACAAGTATTAATTTAAATTTCTTTAACCCCACCCCCCCGGTTGCTGTTCTTTTGAACTTTCAATTCATTAAAGAATCCTGAAAAAAGTACACTTTTGTACAGCATGAAAAGGTTGAATAAATATACAGAAATAAACTAAACATATAAATTAACCAAGCAACACAAACCAAAATTATATCAAAGTCAGAGATATATATATATATATATATATATGATACAGTAGACAGACAGACAGACAGATAGATAGATAATTTTCTCAACACAATTTATACTGCAAAGTGTGATGCTGCAGATTAATTTTAAATATTTAAACCCTCCCCCCATTCAAATGCTATGAGTGATCAAAGCATTTCACTTTAATTTCATAAGTCATTTTATTGGTAGAGAGAGGCATAAACAAAGACACACACAAAGTCCAATTAAATGTCTGGGATTTTCTGTAAACCTTCCCTGCTCTTTTTTTTTTCCATTTCTGAACACTCCTGAAAAAGTGAAGCGTTGGGAAAATGCAAGCAGAATGAGGTAATTAATTAATGCGGTTGTTTATATATGAGCTGCCAAGAAACGTTAAAGAAGCCATCAGTCAGTTAAAGGAGGAAAACACTTTGCAATGTGGCAGGGATTTGAGCTTTTCAGTTTAAAGTTAATTAAGGTGCCTGAGAAAACAAATATACGTAAACTTTCATTCTCACCCAATTTCCTCTGCAGTTCTGACCACATCTGCATGCTTGGATGCCATTTTTTGCCTTGCCATTTCTAGTGGGCTGTGATGGGCGTTAATCTAAGAAGGAGAAAATAAGGAATCAAAATGGTGGAAAGGAGAGTCATGCAAAGCAGCAGGTTCTTCTTCATTTCTGCAGTTTTAATGTAAGGCAGACTACATTTACTTCCTGCAAATTACCTTTATGGTGATTTTCCATTAAAGCCAGCCAGGACAGAGCAGTGGTGTGTATTAGTCAAGCTTACTGTAGGTCACACCTGTTACCAGAGGCTTTGCATAGAAGTAATCTAAATGTGAAGTGTCAGCTCCCCCACAGAATTCTGATTGCAGAAAGAAACACTCCAGCGCCAAATTCATTCTCCGTTCCTGTCGTGTGTGTTAACAGCCAGCCTATTTATAAGCCTGCTTAACTTGCAAAGCCTGGGGCCAGGCGATCTGACTCAATGACTGCAGTAAAACTCCTAATATACACCTTGGCAAACGTCTCCATTAGGATAAATTACTTTTTCAAAAGGTGAGGCCATGGCATGCTAATTGGTCCCAATCAAGTTTGTAATCTAATCCAATTAGAAACTGACACTCTGCTCATGGAAACCTTAATTGGGATTTTGTGTCTGTGTGAAGCTGTCAGGAGGAGAGTTATAGGGGAGGAAATATTTTCTGTTCACTGTAATTTGGAACCAAGGCGAGGCCTCTTAAAAAATGACCAGCTTTCTGATTGAGTTTTAACACCTGGGAGAAATCCTAGTGTCAGTCAAGTGTGGAATTAGGCACTTTATTGCAACTATTGTATATGTTGATTGTATATGTAAGTTCTTGAAGGGATAAGACACCCAAAAATAATAAAAAAACTGCCATTCTAAACCTGTATGAATTCATGAGAAAAGGCCATACAAGTCTATACAAGTCAATGGGGTCCAAAACAACAACAACAACCTTTTTTTTAAATGTCTTTTATTTGTGTGTGTGTGTTTCATAGAAAATTAGAAATGCATGCAAGTTTGGAACAAAATGTAGGTACATAAATTTTGACAGAATTTTTACTTTTGGTGAAGTATCCTTAAATTCCTGCAATGCCTTTTACTTCTCTCAATATTTTATTGAGTATATATATATTTATGCATCTAACAATCGATTAAGCAAATGGATTTCTTCCAATGTTAATGCTCATTGAGTGTTGCGCTAGCGCATCTTCCACAGTTGATGTAATATGATGTGCTCTTTGCGAAATCTGGATTCCGCACCTCCCCGGCTGTGTGAGAGGAAGCTTTTCCCTAGTGGATCCGCAGGGTTTTCATGAACAGGCAGATGGAGAAAATATTGTTGACATTAAACTGTTCCTCTTTTAAGGAATTGTTGTGACAAGGTGGAGCTCCCATCACCCGAAATAGCAGCTGTGTACTGTTTACAAAGAGGCCCAAAGCAATGCTTGTTTCCATTGAAATGGTGGCAACCATCTCTCTCTGTCTTCCCCTCACTGCTGCTTCTTTGTAATGAAAAAGCTGCTCACGTTAAGAGGTTTCGCCTCATATTTTGCTGTCATTTGTTTTTCTTCATCGCACCCTTTCCACCGGAGTAATTTAGTATGTACTGGAATGGCTTTCATTTCAAAAACAAACATAATTTCCTATTTGCAGCGTCAAAAAAAAATAAAAATGGACGAACGTGGTCCCCCACCACTTCAGTCTGTATTGTCCTCAGTATAATTGTGAGTTCAGTTAAGCAAGTTAAAAACACAAACTGGTGGAACCCTGAAAAAGGAAGCTAATGATTTGTCAGTGTGAAATCTCCAGTGGCGAGTCAAATCAATGAGCTGTTCCAGGTTCATAATTACTGCTCTTTTTGCCAGCATAAGGAAAAATCAATAAAGTCAAGTACATGAAGCACAAACCCCATTGTGTTGTACACAGAGCAAACAGACATCATGTGATTTGCTTTACAGTCAGTATCTACACAGGCCCCATCACACATGCAATTTATTATTATTATTATTATAGCTGTAAATGTCAATGTCTATGTCTAAAATGTATAAAAATATGCATGATTTAAATTCAACATATCACATTAGTAAAATGATTATGTAAAATCCATCTTTCCATGGCCTTTGACCCTGACCTATTTTTCACTTGACCCGCACCAATCTCAAGTTGTCAGCTTTAATGGCCTATTTCCTGCAGATAACACTGCATTTCAAACAAACCACAGGCTCTGCTTTTCAAGCAGCATGTCCGTAATTTATCTTTTCAGTTAATAATTGTAGGTATTTGCATTAAATTTGGCAGCAAATAAATTCAAAGCCTTTCTATTTCTATTATGTTAAAGATCTAGTTACATCAGATATACAGTACACTGTAAAATATAATGTTAGTTTGAAATACAAAAAAACGTTAAATGTTAAAAAATATTTTCATTCAAATGAATCAGTTAGCTTAATAAATAGGTCAAACAGTATATCTAAATATATTATTATTTATGATTTAATATTTGAACCAGCCTGAATACATTAGGTTACACCAACAAAAAAGCAGAAATCAAGTAAAACATGCTTGGGGTAACAATTGCACATTACAACTTTTTACAGTGTAGCACAGCATTTACTTTTATTATAGCCTGTATTATAGTATATGTACACTACACTTTGCTTACCTTAATCCTAATATTAATTTATTTTCATACAGTAATGCCACTGAAAAATGTATAATTTCGAAGCTAAACAACAAATCTCATGCTGTCCTAAAATGTCTGACCCACGTACTGCTGAGATGACTGACAGAATTCAAAATGTATACAAATGCAAAATGTCAGTGAAACTTAGCGATGTGCCTATAGCCATTCCTTTTTTTTTGTAGTCAACCCCCGGAACCCTACTCCAATCTATTCCACATCTCCAAAGCACAGATCATAGCTCCAGTGAGGTTTGAGAAAAGAAGAAACTTTCATCTGACAAATGGTACCTCTTTTCCCACTGTCCTGTGAGAATGTATCTTTCTCCATAAATCTGTTGATGACAAGCACCCCTTTTCTTTCACTCAACTTATCTCAGCTGCTCCTCTTACAAATGGGCCTCTCTCGTCTGTTTGTCTGCACCCCTTTCATCTGAGACTAGGCGCAAATGTCACAAATACGTCAGGTGTCCGAATAACCACTGTGAGAGCGAAACATTTGCACTATAAACAAGAAGGCAAAAAGCTGATTTCTTATATAATTTAACCCCCCCCACAAAAAAAAGAAAAACTTCAAGAGTCACACTCTTCACCCTCCTCCTCTTTCAAACCTTTATTCCTCTTTTTGATGATCATTCATTCATTCGTAGATTTAAAGAAAAAAGAAAAAATGTTAAAGACATCAGAAGACTGAAATATATTTTATTCATATATCTTGGTTAATTCAGAGTAGAAGCTTTCATGGAGATCCCTTTGTGCTAATTAAGGAGGTGTGGAGGAGAAACAGTGAGAAGGAATATTCTTTTGCTCTTAAGATCAGCACTTTATGCCTTGGAAACTCATTTCAACTGCACTATTTTGGGATTTATCATTGTGTACACGATCTCTGTGTTAATCTGTGAAACACCTCTATGACATTTGTACAGTAAAGAATAATGATATATCCCTCATAACAATGTGTGGGAAGTTGCTATTTGCAACAACACAGCAATTACACTACAGTTCTGCTGTTAACAGACTTCTACATGTTTACAAATCACTCTGGAATCACGCTGGAAATGCACCATACGTTGAGCTGAGTTATTAAATGGGCTGCTCATTTCCACCAAAAATTACTTTTAAATTTTTCTAATAATATCTCCTTTCAGCCTTTTCCTAAAAGCCACATTCAAATTTCATAAGCTGGCCTCACATTTCATCCTCAGAATCTCTATTAAAACTGTCTGCCTGATTGCTACTATGGCTTCTTTATTCTCTCTGCACTTAAATTTAGTCATGAGTGCTGCTTTCTGTCAGCGAACACACAGCACCCTTGCTAAACATTGGTGGTAGATTATATTCTCATAGATGTGCGCATACAGAAAATGTAGGCACTTTTAGGCTTTTCCATGCCAAAATACACTTTTGAAAAGAGGAATACAAATGTGATCCCTTGTTTAATTCCCTTAACCCTCTATGGTACAATGTTACCTCCAGGCAACACAACATCTTTTTTTTTTTTATATATAAATTGAGAGACTCATGTAATTGACCAATGCTGCCTCAGGGAAGTAGAAGTCAAATACTAATAAATGAACATACAAAAAAAGTGGTCACATGACCCACAGGGGTCCATTTTGTTTCCACTTTCAGGACGTGCACGTCACTCTATATTTTGTCCAATGAAAAGTGCATTTTTCATCAATTTCCGTGCATATAATTGCCTACAAAAAATCTTAGTCACCTTCATTGGAAAGTAAAGAAGTATTTTCAAAAACTTTACATAATATTTCAGCAAATGTATGTATAGGAAATTACAAAAAACGTCTCCAGGTTACGCATGTAACCATGGTTCCCCGAAGGGAACGAGACGCTGCGTCCAAAGACACTACGGGAACGCCCCCAGCGTGACCATGCTCTGAATCACATGTGTAATCAGTCCAATGGAAGGGCGAGACGTCATAGGCGGGTGACGAAGCGACCAGGAAGCTATAAAGGCACGTGAGGTGGAACCGGCTTCAGCTTCAAGGAATGAAGCAAGCGCTCGCAGGGATGCCGGAAGTATGGCTCTGAGACGCAGCATCTCGTTCCCTTCGGGGAACCATGGTTACATACGTAACCTGGAGACGTTCCCCTTCAGGAACTCGAGCTGCGTCCAAAGACACTACGGGAACGAGAATGCCACCCATAACTTCCACAGTTCTGGGCGGGGGTGAAATATTGTGCCTTCCGCCTGTGACAGGAGGTCCCTCCTGACGGGAATCTCCCATGGAGAGCCGTCGAGAAGGGAAATCAGGTCCGAGCTTGATCATGCGAAGCAGATTTCCCCTCGGTGAAAACCCCTTGGACTTGAGCCACTACTGTAGGGGCCTCATGTACAGCAGGCCAAAAGGTATCACGTTGGACGCAGCTGCCATTAACCCCAATAGTTTCTGAAACTGCCTGACAGTGAGTGACTGGCCTTCTCTGACTCTCTTGACTACCGTGATGATCGAATCGACCCGAGCAGGAGATAACCGTTCCCGCATCGTGGTCGAATCCCACACCACGCCCAGATAGGTGGTCCTCTGTAACGGAGCAAGGACACTTTTCTTGGTGTTTAGTCTTAACCCCAACTCCCTCATGTGAGCAAGAACAACATCTCGATGTCGAACCGCCATCTGCCCCGATTGAGCTAAAATCAGCCAATCGTCGATATAATTTAATATGCGGATGCCCTGGAGTCGCAGTGGAGCCAGAGCGGCATCCACACACTTCGTAAAGGTGCGGGGTGAGAGTGCTAGGCCGAAAGAAGGATGGAGACATGAAAGTACGCGTCTTTT